TGCATTATTCATGGTTGGCACCAGATCGAGTTTGCTGGGGCAGCCAGCACTCACTGAACCCCTTGTTCTCTACCCCTGTGTCTAGGAGACAGGCCGGTTCCCTGCTTACAAGGAGTTGGTGGCCGAGTACTGCTGGCTCAGTCGCTGTAAGTACAGTGCCACGCGGGTACTGGCAGGGGCACTGGGCTGGGGCACAGTGGGGCTGGGACTATGAGAGTGATATCTGACCACTGTAGGGAGGGAGAAGGTCCGCAGGCCATGGGCTCCCAAGGCCTTGGAGGCAGCAGGAATCTCCCTGTGCCACTGTTAGCATACCCACAGGCCCGATGGACTTGCAAGGTCCCACCTGTCCCCCATCCTTGGAGGAGGCATGAAGTGCCCCCTGCCATGGCCAGCAGCCTTGTGGTCCCTGTGATCCCACAGCATCCTACGTGTCCACTTTCTTGGAGAGTACACGATGATCCCCATGCAATGGCCAGCAGCCCACTGGTCCCCATGGCCCTGCAGGTTCTTCACGTCTGCTGTCTTTGGGAGGGAGCAAAGTGGAGCTCTAGGTGGCCCACAGTGTGTCACAGTGTGTCCCTGCTGTGCCTTTGCAGTGACCAACGGGCAGCTGCAACAGCTGGCTCAGACGTCAGAAACCAGCTCCTCCATCTCCTCCTACTCTTCAGGACCAGCACCAGGGGCAGTGAATGGGCTGGGGGCAGCTGCCCCAGTGCCCCCAGCCCGCACTGTGGATGTGGCCATCTCCACGGAGGACGGGCCTCGGCGGGGCTGGGTGCGGGAACGTGCCGAGCGGGCCATGCAGACCGAGCCAGCCGCCGAGGGGCTGCCAGAGACACAGCGCACAGTGCGGCCCCCCGAGCTGCTGCGGGACACGGCCATCCGGGGCCAGGGCAGCCGCGAGACCCCCGGCACCCACCCACGCCGGACCTTCACACACTCACCCAAGACAGCGCTTCTGCTGGCACTGAGCCGGCCACGGCAGCCCATTACACGCTCCCAGAGTGACCTCACTGTCGCTGGTAGGCACTGGGGCACAGCCCCACACATGGGACTCAACCCTGGCTGAAGTCTCCTTCCAACCCTGCAACCCAGCCCTGGGAGTCCCACAGCTCAGGCACTGCCCCATGTGGAGAGCCTGTCCCCCACTCAAGCATCCCTTAGTCCCTGACACACATGGATACCTGGCCTCCACTCCTGGGCTTATAGCAACCTGGTCCCTTACCCTGGCACCATAAAGCCCATATGGCCCCCTGGCCACCAGTCCTGGGTATCCTATAGCCCCACATAGCCCCAACTCTGTCCCTGGGACTTGCCAGGCAGCCCAAAGCCCAGTCCCATGGCTTCTGGTGATCCACTGCACCCCACAGAATGACTCAGTATCTCCCAGTAGCCCCTCCAATCCCCCAAAGTTCCCTGCCCCCAGACAAGATTTGGGGTGGCATCCCCTCAGCTCTCCACTCTAACACCCCCTTCTCTCTGTCCACAGAGGAGAAGCGGAAGAAGGAGAAGCCAGAGGGACAAGGGGCACGGGGAGCTCCCCCAGGATTGCACCGCTCCAAGACCCTTGTCAACCTCTTTTTCAAGGGGGGCCGTGCCACCAGCCAGAGCTGGGCCCCCCCTAGCCAGGAGGCCCCTGGCTCTGATCGCCGGGCACGCACCAAGTCCCCAGGGCGCTCTGATGGGGACAGAGGTATCAGCCTGGGTGACAGGGCAGACAGGGACTCGACCTGGGACTGTTCCCCTTTCTATGGGCCTGTTGTGGCATCCCTGACATGAAGGGGGTGTAGGGAGGGGCTCCCCAAGCATGCAGTTTTGACAGTGGGCGGTGATGCTGCTGTCTGCCCTGGGCACTCACCGCTCTCAATCTCCCTTGCAGTAGGCGCTGTGCAGAAGTTTGTCATCCGGAGCCTGAAGCGGGGTAACAGGGGTGCCTGTGTGCCTGGGGGGATGTGGGGCAGGCTCTGCATGCACCTGGCCCTGCACTGCTTGTGTCTGTCCCACTCTGGTGTGGAGTGAGCTACTGGGGTAGGGGGAATGAGGAGTGGGCTGGCTGGGGCAGTCCTTGCCCCGCTGCCACCCCTCCTTGTTGTGCCTCCCCAGAGAAAAGCCGGCGTGCCAGCATCCTGGGCCCCATGGGCATTGCCACCCTGCAGCCCAACGGCAGCGACCCTGAGGCCCGGCTCCCACACATCCAGGACACCGCTGCACGTCTCCTCAGCCCCGATGAGGTGACAGCCGTGCTCCGCCACTGCACCCGGGTACGCACCGAAGGCAGGGTGCAGGCAGGGCAGCACTGACCCTGGGCTGGTCCCTGGAAAGCTCCTGCATCCCAGGGGCATGGTCAGCACCCTGTGCTTAACTCTGGGGGGTAAACCAAGGAGTGGGTGAGGGGGCATCTGTCCACTGATCCCCCTCCTGTGCCCGCAGTACCTGCATGAGGGCAGTGTGGAGGACTTGGTGCGGCCACTGCTGGCCATCCTGGACCGGCCGGAGAAGGTCCTGCTGCTGCGGGACGTGAGGTGAGCGCTGCTAGGAAATATCTGGGAACCCCAATATTGCCCATCCTGGTGTGATTGATGTGGTGCCTCACACATGCTCCTCAGCCCTGATTACACTCCACCCCAGAGGCTGCTACAACCCATCCCGACCCTTTTGCCTTGGCAGGAGTGTGGTGGCCCCTACAGACCTGGGCAGGTTTGACAGCATGGTGATGCCCCTGGAGCTGGAAGCCTTTGATGCCCTAAAGAGCCGCTCAGGTAGATCCCAGCCCCCCAGGGGCCTTGACTGGGGAAAAGGAATGGTCAAGGGTGGGTGCAGCTCAGGAGGTGACTGGGGGTTCTCCCTGACTGCAGTGCGCTCACCTGCCCTCCGCCCAGCCCACCATGACGTCCCCCCCAAGAGACACCTCATCACACCAGTGCCTGGTAAGTGCCACCTGTAGAGTCTGCCTGGACACCAAACTGCCCAGTGGGAATGGGGTGGCGGGAGTTTGGGGAAGGAGAAAGGGACCTGGGATACCTGAGCGCAGGGGCTCCCAGAGAAGAAGGCATCTGGTGTCCTTGGGTGTTGGGAAGACTGGGAGCAGCACAACCTGTGGATCTTGGGTGCTAGATCCAGAGATCTTGGGGAGGAGGACATGGAGTGCTTGCAGAGAACTGGGGTGTCTAGGGGTCCCTAAATGAGGAAGATCTGGGCCCCTAGCTGGCAAAGGACCTAGGGCTTTGAGGTACTCATGGGAGGTCTATGTGGCAGGGGTCCCAGGGAGCAGGGCTGTGGGTCCCTGAGGAGATCCCTGAGCCCCTCTCATTGCAGACTATCGGGGCGGATTCCTGCTGAAGCCAGCAGGGACCCCAGAGCCGGAGGAAGCTGGGGAGCAGCAGGCAAGCCCAGCCCGTCCGAGAGCCTCCCTCAGCCCCCGCCGGCCTCACCCCCGCACCTACACCCCACTCCCTGACGTGCCAGTGGATGCCTATGCCTCTGCCAGCCGGCCTCTGCCCACCCTTGGCCCTCGGCCCCCCAACTGGCTGCTGGCTGAGCCCCCCTCTGGCAAGGGGCATGGGCACTCTCGCAGCCCCCGGGCCACCTGGCGCAAGGAGCCCCCCAGGACAGCACCCAACAGAGAAGCTGAAGTGCTGGGGAAGCCCCAGCGGGCACGGCCCCCTCTTGGCCCTCTCTTTGGGGGACCAGGGGGTGAGGCAAGGGCTGGGGCAGCCACCAATGGCCCCGAAGATGTTGGCAAGGAGGAAGAAGAGGAGGAAGAGTATCATCTGCTCACTGTCACCCTCTCCAAGCTGAAGCACTCACTAGGTGGGTGGCACATGGGTGGAGTGAGGACCCTTCTGGCACCAGCATCAGTGGGATGGGTGGCAGCCCCCTGGTGAAGGGCAAACCCCAGAGCATTCCTCCAATGAGAAATGGGGAGGAAGAGCTGTCCCTGCCCCGGTCCCTCATTCTGTAGGACCTACCAAAATAGGGCAAGACAGAGGTGCAGCTCCCCAGGGAAAGGTGGTGCCATGCTGGGGAGTGGGTGGAAGTCCCAGTCTACCCAGGTGTGAGGGTCTCATGGCTCCCTTGCAGGTATCAGCATCTCTGGAGGGATTGAGTCAAGGGCACAGCCAGTGGTGAAGATTGAGAAGATCTTCCCTGGTGGAGCTGCCTTCCTCAGTGGTATCCTCAAGGTATGGAGGTCCTAGGACATGCCAGGGGCTGGGCAGACATCCAGACACTCCCATCCCCTGATGCCACTGGGTTGCTGGCAGTCCCCTGGGAGCCCAAAGGTAGCTGCGCTTCACCTTGTGGCCTTTCCTTCTGGGACCCAGGCCGGGCAGGAGCTGGTGTCGGTGGATGGGGAGAGCCTGCAGAACGTCACGCACCAGAGGGCTGTGGACATCATCCGCCAGGCCTACCGCAACAAAGCCAAGGAGCCCATGGAGCTGGTGGTGCGGGTGCCTGGACCACCACCGGAGTGATGCTGCAGCCCCTAGTCGAGGAGCCATGCTGTGCTCCAGAGGAGCCAGATGGCTCATTCCTGCACCGAGCTGTGGCTGGTCTCAGTGCAGCCAGAGGGTGTGAGAGCCAGACCTGCTCCAGGGGCATGGAGCAGCTGCCCACTGCAGGACCCAAGGAAGGGCAGCACTGGCAACACAGGGGAAGGACAAGTGGTCCCTGACCCTGCTCTGGACACACAGACAGAGTCCTGAAAAAAAAACACAGCCAGGGGCTTGTTTTTAATTGCCGTTTCCGGGTGGTACACGGATGAGCCAGGCTCTGGGAAGGAGACGTGACTGAAATAAAGTACAAAAATCCCCCCCTGGAGCCAGGGGTGACCAAGCCACAGCTGGGCACAGCCAGACTTTTCCTTTGGTTTGACCCCTGCCCCGGGTGCCCAACAGGGCCTCCCCACCTCTGCCCCCAGGGGTGTCCCCAGGGTGTCCCCAGCTGGCACATGGAGCCCCACACCCCTCTCCCCTGGCAGGCCGGGCATCACAGAGGCATGAGCTTTTTTGGGGGGGAAACAGAGGGATGCTGGGGGCAAGAGCATGGGAAAGGCACTGAGGGCAAGCTGCCCTGTGGCAGGGGTGAGGGGGCATAGACTGGTGAGGTGTGAGCTGGGAGAGGGTGATATGTTTCGGTAGGTCCTATAAAAATAGAGTTATTTAAAATGGCACAGAAACAAATTCCCTGACAAACACACAAAGGGGCATGAGGGACGCTGGCATGGGCAGAGACAGGGCACACGCCAAGTGACTGGGTGACAGTGCCAGCAGGGATGAGAGGGAGGGGACAAGTCAGCCCTCCCCCTGCCCAAGGTGACCCTGGCTGAAGCCAGCATTGCTAATCCCCAGGAGCTAAGAGGATCAGCAGAAACCAGTTCCGGGCGGCCCCAAGGCCAGGACTCAGCATCCACCTGACCCCACTTCTCACAGGCACCCCTCACTGTGGGCACTGATACACCCTCGCCCCAAGACCTCAGCGCTGGGGAGGGGGCAGCGCCTGTGGTCTCCCCTGCCCCTCTTCACAGTGGCAGCAGTTTGCAGAGCAGAACAAGAGCAGGGGTCCCCCACAGCCTCACGGCTCCCAAAATCACAGGGGCTGGAGGCCCCTTCAGCCCTCCAAGCATGGGGCAAGGGCAGGCAGCATCTCAGATCTCGGTGGCTGTTATCTCCTCAAAGGGCGGGTCAGGTGGGTCACAGGGCTCGGGCAGGGAGTCCTCGCCCTGAAGCCGGAGATGCTGGAGCCGCTGCTCGAGCCGCCGGTTGCGCCGGTACATCTGGATGTAGCTGTACTGCAGCTGCTTCTGGTAGCGGATGACCCGCTCCTTCTCGCCCTGCCACGTGCCACGTTCCTGCTCGAAGGCATCCCGCTGCTCCTGCCCACGCCGCCGCTCCAGGGCCACCTCCGCACGCAGCCGCTCCAGCTG